AGGTCGGATGTGTAGTATAGCGGATTTGGCGTAGGTCAGAAATGGAGTATGGCGGATATGTGTAGGTCGAAAAATACACCACCGAAATTAAATCTTGTTTTAGATCCGAATCCTGCACCAAGTTATTACAACGCTAGCTCTGGTATGGAAGGGCAAGTTTATCCCAACTATACTGAACCCTACGGGAACCAGCATATCCCTGCTACAGCCACTTCGGGGGAATACTCTAGAGACCAGCAGATAAACGACGAACAGGTTCAACATTTTTGTTCGTTTTTGTTTAACTCTAGGATACTTTTTATACTATTTGATCATGATATTCAATAAGATTAACTTCATCACTGTTAAAACGATGTGGAAAAAGATGTATTAAGGAATTATGTCTTATGATATATTATTATAATTAAGGCATTATATTTTGGTATGTGGGTGTAGGACAGCCCTAAAACCTTGATTTGATTTGATTTGATTATATTTATCTATGGCATTAAGCTTTTTACATCCTTACCTAATCCTATAGCTCCGTATACCCATGGAGTCATAGAGCAACACAACTAAGGAGAGTTGTTTACTCTCAATTTTGGCATATTAGAAGAGCTCAAACACTGGATATCTTGGTTATTTGTTAGTTTTAAATATGATTGCTTGTTCTAGGATATGGTTGAAGGTAGGGGAGGATTGACTGCTAGCACCAACAATTTCTCTGATGGTGAAGTAGAAACTATTCTAGGATCAAGGGAACCGATTATTATCAAGGTCGGTCAATAACTAGAATTTATTCTTTAATACTGTATTCATAATACTTTAAAACAGTTGTATGCAAATAAAAACAAAAACTCAATTGTACATTGAAGAGGAAAGAAAATTGGCTAGTTGCTTACCGCCATTAGCCAGGCTCGAATAATAAGTACAGAATATTTATATTCTTTATACAGGGTTGTTTATAAATTCGACAATTTTGATCTTCCCTTCCCCCCCCCCCTCCCACAAGTTTAAGTATGAGTATTTTGGCACAGGCAAAGAGTTTAGACTTACTATTTTTTATTCTTGGGGGGGGGGGGTGTATATTTTCTTGGAAACTATGTCCCATTATCTACTTTATTATTTGATTGAATTGTTTTGTAAAACGATAGGAACAGTTACCAGTAACTTGTTTTGTAAAACCAAAGGAACAGTAACTTAATAGTAAAATTGAAGGGACACTAACTTGTTCAATAAAACAATAAGATATATCGGAAAATAGTTCTGGATAACGATAGGATTGAAATTTTTTTGTAAAATCAAAGGATTAGTAAGTTTTTAAATAAAAAGATAGGATCAGTAACTTTTTTCATTTAATTAAATGACCCGTTACAATTGTTTTGTAAAACGTATGATCAGTTTTAATTTGTTCCGGAAAACTGTAGGATTAGTAACTTGTTTTGTAACAAGAGAGTATCAGTAATTAAAGGACCGCGGTGAAACGTAAAGGATCCGTATAATTTTTTTCAAACTTCATGCTGTCATGTTGAGTTTTACAGAATAGTGAAAATAATCAAATGTTGTGAATGGCATAGGTACATTCGAAGAAAAATTGGACTGAAAATATGTTCTTAATTGCTAAAAACAACAACAAAAGTCTGTCTACTAGGAGGAAAAAGTTTTAATATGCTATATTTACAGGATCTTGAAATGGCGGAAGAGCTGATGAACTCTAGTGTTGATGTTGTGGATCATGTTGAAGCCCCTCTTGACCAGGAGCAGGTTCCTTTCGTCTGAGTTCTCAGGGTACACAAGGACACAGATACTAGATAGGCGGAGTATCATTAGTTCCTGCTTTCTTATTTAAATATTTGTCCAATATCACCAATGATGCTGATAAGTTTTGTTTATTTACAAATAATCTTTAGTAAATATAATAATCTGTCTGTTTTCAATATTTTAGATGTCTTTTTTCGAATCACGCTTTAAAACTTTATATGTCAAAAGTCGATTTTAATATATTTTTCGAATCGTGCATTTAGTACATTCGCCAATTACAATATTATAACAACTTCTATTCGAATTTGTTACTTTCGGAATATAATTTAAAAGCTTTGATTTTTCTAGAAGAAAATTTAGTTTGTGCAATGTTCTTTGTATCATTGATCAGTGTATTTTGTATTTAGTAATATTTTTTTGTTGATCATTATTTTTATGAACACTGGTGTCAGAACCGCTCACGAAGTAGGTTGATATGTTTGGTAAAAAAAGTGTGTGTGGAGGGGAGGGATTCTTAATTTTCAGCGATTTTTTAAATTCCTACCGGGGTTCCTTGCATATTTTCAATATCTATCCGTTTCTTTTTCTTTTGGCTAGTCCGTTGAATCTTGTGATTATTTCTTGTATTATGTGTATTACTCATAATATCTGTTTTCCAAACCAAACCAAACCAGACCTCACCGACACTGTACACTCCAGAGATAATTATTAAAATTGGTGTTTTTTCTTCCCTTTGTTAAAATATGTTCAATTGATCAACAGTATGTATGTATGTATAAGATTCGTAAAATCCTTTGTTTAAATTGTTTCAGAATGAAAGAATTCCAGAATGTCTGAACACGGGGATGAGATGAAGAACGACGAGATGAACCTGGTGGCTGAGGCGGAGAAGTGGTCGGAAAATCAGATACAGGGACGAGTCCAGGTTGTGCAACTAGTAATTTCAATCGTATACTAAGATGGATCCAAATTCATGGACCGTTGTACATTATATGCATTTTTTCCTTATAATTAATTTCTTTATCTTAAGCAATTCTTCTTAACAACTTTACTCAATATCAGAATAAATCAACATATGCAGACATATCTTATTCGCAAAAACATAAAGAGAAAAATTCTCTCATTTTATCTTCATACCTATTGCAATTCAAATTCTTTTTTAATGAAATATAATTTATATTGTAAAAAATTATTAATGTTATTTCGTATAAATGCTTATCATTATTTCTGAAGGAGTTGCTCCAGTTTATTCATCCTGTTCTCCTGGATGAGAACAGTGAGCATGGTCTTCGTCTTGATTGTGTTCGGTTCACGGTGGAGAAACTAGCAAGGTTTGTTTTTAATCTACTCCACCATACTGTTATTTATATTCATCCTTTACACTCTCTAAACCATACTTTAAGTTGTATTCATCCCATCCAGAAAACTATTACACTTACATTCATCCACATAACCTTACTGTTTGTTATATTCATCCATAGAACCTTACTGTTTTTTATATTCTTCTACTGAACCATAATATTATCCACTACACCTTACTGGCAGTTTTATTAATTCACTTCACTTGCTGCCAATTTTCATACATTGCACCATACTGTCAGTTTTTCTTGATGGGAAATTATGAAGAAACAAGTAAAAGAAATTATAATTCTAAAAATGATTTGTTTAATTTAAATCTTGATAAATAACCTGTATATGATGTTCAGACATGTCCCTGTATTCGAGGCTGAGGATGATATCTTCTATCCTCTGCTCAAGGGAATCCTGGAGTTTCTTAAACAAGTCTATGAACGTATTTCCAGGTAAATTGTCCTGAGTCCTCATCCGTACTTTTCAGAAACATATGACGTCTCCAACTGTGTAGATCGAAATACGACCCCAGTCGGCGAAAACATGGAAAGCATAGTAAAATTGGATTATGTGCTGACATTTTAAACTTAAGGACTAAACATTATAAATTACGGAGACATACAAAGTACGTCATGAAGACGCCTGCCGGTATGTTCGGAACAGTACAGTTACAACAAAACAGTTTTTAGGAATGGTATGGGCGGGGTAAAATACACTGTACACAGGACACAGAATTAAAATAAGTAATTTGTATTTTGTAAAGGATTTTGATTAAGAGGGGTTTATGTCATTGCATAAAATTGATTAAGAGAATCGATCTTGATCATATATGGATAAACTCCATGCGTGACGTCACAGAGCTGACTAGATGCAAGATACAAGAGCAATTTTATCAAAGGGACCGGAGTAACTCTTATAAATTGAGATTTAAAAAAAAATATTTCATGTTTCGTTTTTAGGACTGATGATACTGATCGTGTTATCACGACTGCGATTGCAACTGCTCTCGTTGATCATGCTGACGTTCTTCTCACTCACGGAGCAAGGTATTATGATATCTAAGCTGAAAACTTTAGAATTGTAGATATCGAGATCAATATCTTCTCAATTTGTTAACCTCACGATAAATTTAATCTTAAATTCACAAAAGTGTATATAACTCAATAAATCGAATGGCGTTTGGAAAAACCGGATTAGCCAATCAGAGAAGTCGGAAAGTTTTAAATATTTCGCGCCATTTTATATATGGACTCTCATTGGTCAAACCAAGTACGGATATCCGAAAAAGAGAGGAAAGAGTGGATTAAGAAGGAAATTAAAAGTGTTCACATCGAATATTCAGATTATGCATAATACATTACATTTTAATAACTCATTGTTCAGGCAAAGTATTTATGTTTAAAAAAAATTGAAACTTTGTGAATTTAGTTACGATGGTTTGGGACCTGGTGAAATCCCAAGTATTCCAAGGATAATTCCCAAGATACTTCTGATAACATTTCAGTACTGTAGACAGGAGCAAACAACAACAGGTTCAGGTAATATACAAGTTTTTTCTCGGAGATAAATCTAAAATCTGAGTGTAAAGNTTTGATGATATTAGGGGGAAAATTGAATTATTGGACACGGGGGAAAGTTTTTTCACACTTTTTACCCAAAAAATTATTTTTTTACCATGCAAGTTATTTATTTTCCCCAATTCCTTGAATAAAACCCTAAAAAAATAATAAAAACTTCTGGGGAAATTATTTTCATGAAAATATAAACCCTTGTCAAAAATTTCTATTTTTTTTTGTATGATTAAATTTATTTTTTTAGGTGAGGTGAAAGACTCGATAACCCGGTTATTTTGTCAAGGACGTAAGTTACTTGAAAACTTTTCATCTCTGATCGGAAAGATGAAGATAAGAACTGTGCTCGAGGATGAACTTGAAATAATTCTGGAGCTGTGCTCCGACCTTCTTACCTTCCATGAGATCCTCTTCTCTATTGATCTCAAGTCCTGTCTGTTTGTGTGGAAACTCTACGGAAAGCTAGTCAAGGAACATTGTGATAGGTTAAGGTATGTTTCGATCTCAAGTACTCGAATATACTCGAATATACTCGAATATGTTTTTTTGGAATATTTTGAAGTTGATGTTAAAGTTTTATTAATGTAAGGAACAATTAGTAAAGTTAATGCCAATGTAAAACAATACAAGGGTTTATATTTTCTCGAAAAATCATTTTTTTGTTCCTCCCCCTCCCCCCCTTTGAAAATAATTTTTTCCCGACGGATTTTATTTGCTAAATTTGGGAAATAATTGGTTTTAAAAAGTATCTAAAAGAATTAATAAAAGTCTTTGGTTATAATTTTTTATTTTAATCCCCAAATCATCAAAAATGTTTTGGTTTTTTTTTTTGGGGGGGGGGGGGGTTTAATTCTGAAAATAAATATACACTCCTGGGCCTAAAATAATGCAGAGGTATTTTTGTTGCTATGTTTAGGCTAAAACTGGATATTGAGTCTGCTCTAGATACATTGATTTCGGAGTCGGTGGAAGCTTTCCGTAAACTTGAATCCGTCCTGCAGGAGGAGACAGAGAACCTGAATAAGAAGGTGAACAGGCTGATAATTGCACTCGCCTTCTTCGTGAAGATGATCGTAAACCTGTCAGAGGAATATTCCAACCTCGTGAAAACTAACCTGGATACTTTCTCAGAGTTCCTTGGAATCATGTTTCTAAAGGGAGTGACTTTGTTTCCATTCATGGATCAACTCATGATAGACAAGATGCAGCGAGATATTTTCCTCTTGAATCCCGAGAAGACATTTATTCTCCGTGTGCCCGACATGAGCCAGTTCGCGGAGTTTCTGCTCACTGTAGAAACTAATCCTTGCTCGGCATTCACAAGAGTTCAGATTATCTTGTCCGTCCTTGACCTGGACGTTGTTCCTGATCCAATGAAACTCCGTCTTTTTGATGTTCTCCTGGAAACCTTTGGATACTGTGAATCTGAGAATCAGAAACCTGGTTGGTTAGAATCCCCCGAGGTTCCTGGGATCCAGGTTAAACTCTTTTCCGCTTACGAATTCGTCTTGACCCGAGTTTGCGGGTTTATTTCAAGTATCGGACCAGATGAGTTCCCTGCCCTGGAGCTGGCATTGTTTAGAAACTTGTTGGGAGACTTAAACCTTAGCTGTCAGCTTGCCTGTGATATTCTCTGTTATGTTGGAAGATACGGATCTGCAGAGCTGTGTTACTCTCACCTGGAACTAATCTCGGATTGGTATATTAAACTAGATCAAGGATACTTCTCATCACAACATGTCTGGCTGGGGAGCTTAGTTGGTCGTTTATTTAACTTCCTGGGACTCCAAGAGCAGAATAAATGGATAGAAAGGTTTAGTCCAGTTGAACCAAGAAACTTATATCTCTGGAGTCAAGTTGATTTTCAAGCTATCAATCAGAAAGAAAGTTTGACACTTATCCAAGACATTACCTTTTATAGATACAATCTTATGCTGGATGAATCGTCTGCTGAACAAAGTTTGACAGTTCTTCCTGATATCTTGAGAATATTTTCTGGACTCGCCCCCATTAATCTCGACCAGAACTATGGGTCTTTTATGCTTACTTTATGGCAGAAACTGGCTGAGAGTGGGTTTGTTCCATACCCCAAATACTGGTTGTCAGAATTCTTTAAAGCCCTGACGGAGTTTACAGTCTCAGTTCTACCCAATCTAACCTTCTCCGAGCTTAAGATCTTGATCTCAACCCTGCGTGTACTGTCAGGATCTGCCCGGAGTCGGGGGCAGCCTTTGTTCTTTGTCGGGAACCTGCTCTCCATCCTTCTCGAGGAATCTGAACTAGACTGGATTGAGAATACAGAGGTGAGGAAATAAATTAATCTATTTAAATAGTATTCAATTGATTAAAAAGAGGGAAAGAATGGATATAAGTAACCAGAATATAACATAAACGAAATTGGGTTTCTTGGACAGGTCCTGATGAATCTATTGTAAATTATCAGGTGGTTTTAACTTAAGTTTCCAACGATACAAAAGTTTGTATTCAAAAAAATTATGTTCTGAAAGTATATCTCGTTGATGATTTATGAATTAAAAAAAAATGATGTAGTATTCTACTAATCAAGGTTGGTATTTCTAGAACATGGATCCTAGTCTTATCTTGGAGACAGGGAATCTATCCTCGTCCTGCCTGAGATCTAGTGTCAGGAACCCTATACTCAAGATACCCGGCCTAACCTTTCTCAGGAATATTGCTGAAAGATCAAAGAATTCAGGATTTATCAGGTAGATCATTAGCTGCATTCTTTCAGGGAATGTTATCTTTTAAAAACCAGGTGCAGGACTAAAATTTTATGTTTCATTATTTAGTATAAGAGAAAAATCGCAAAAATCTCGCAAATGCCGAGTAAAATATGGCTATTACGCCGGCCGGCTGGCCACTGGCCAGTGTAAACAAAGAAATTTGTATACCCGTTTTGAATCATTTTTTTAAAACACTAGATAGAAACAAGTATTAAAAAGTACTCAAAACATTATTTTTGAAATTTTTTATACAAACTCTTCACCTTCAAATTAAGGCTAAAAAGCTTAAATAATATTTTTTGATATGGGGATATGTTTTCTCTTTTTTCCTGTTTTAATACATCTATCTCGATACCATACCTTTGAAGCTCGCATCTCATTAGAAGCTCGCATCTCATTAGAAGAGAAAGCTAAAGCTGTGTGAGCTGTAGAATCCTGTTCATAAATAAATCAACGTTTGCAATGTGCAGGCTTTGCTCAGATGAGAACGATGTTATGCCACATTTTAAACTCTTCCTTAACGATGATCATTTCTCAAGGTTGGTAAATATTTTTTCTTACTCCGCTTTTAATTTTCATTTTCTTTTTTGTCAATATTTCTTCAAAAAATTCTTTTGTCAATTCTTCTTTTGTTGCGGTAAATACTGAATTATGTTATTACCAGTGATTAGGATCCATTTAATTTTGATGCGGATCCGTCCGGATCCGGGTCCTGTAACTGCACTGAAAAAAAATGATGCGGATTGCGGATCCAGGTCATAAACATTTCTTTAAAATTTGTTACTGAATTTTTTTAACAAAGCAGAATTGACAAGTTATTTTTCTTCTTTTTTTCGCTTGTTTTTTTGCTGAAACTTGATAAACCGTTCAGAGATTAGGAAATTTTTATAATCTCTCGTTCTTTTCTCAGTTCAGATTTGGGTTTTGAAAGTAAAATATTTTGGTTGTTGTTAAAGTTTTTGGTTTATATTTTGCCAATTGGATCCGGATCCGTGGATCCGCATGTTTTTGCAGATCCGGATTCCAAGTACTGGTTATAACCACTTCCCGGAAAAAAAACAAAAAAAAAATATTAAAATGATCATTTTTAGTGTGAACGAGAATATGAAGTTCAACTACTCTGCTCCTAAGCTTGAATACTTTGTGAACCCTGAAGATGAGTCAGGTCTCGAGGTCAAGAGAAAGGTGTCCTCTGCAAGTATATCACCAAGAAAGAAAAGATTAAGAGCTGAAGTTGAAGATAAGGACGGAGATGTTAGTTTGATCCTATCCAGTATAGAAAGTAAACTAGAAAGTTTAACCATACTTCTTCGTCAACCCGGAGACAGAACCTTGAGCAAGGATGAGAAAACAAGACTGAGTGAGCTAAGCAGAAAAGCTTTAGAACTTGTGTCTTAAGCCAAATATAGTTTAACTTCTGAAATCAATTAACAAGTATTACCAAACCATGCTCAATCAATCTCATAAGTCATTATTGATTTTAAATTATGAAATTATGAATGAACCTAAAGTTCAAATCTTAGTAAACATTAAACTCGTGTAAGCTCCGAAGAGTGACAATGTAATATTATCAACGGCTGAGATGTATAAAGTATTTATATATATTATACATAAACAACAAAACCTTGTAGAAACAATGTACTAAGAATGGACTGGCCCTGGGAGTATTCCTTTCCTCCCTTCTTCACTCTTCAGCCTCATCATCCTTCCAGGCAGAAGCAAATACAGTCATGGAAACATCTTGTTATAGCATACTGTCAGGTATTAAATTTTTTTTTAAATGCTGTTATTTGACCTTGTTGTTTACTTTTGTCATTCTTAAAGATACTTTGAAAAGATTTAATAGATTTAAAAAGAAATGTTATCCATTTACACATCTCTGTCTTGCCTAAAATCATTTTATGTCCAATTTATCAGCCTTTTGTAGGCACAGAAACCTTAAAAGTTGTTTTTTTGAAAATGCAGTCGGCGTAACTTTTTAATTTTCAGATATAAAAACAATTTAAAAATATCTCATTCATGTCAAATTTTGCAAAATAAAGTTGAAAGGGATAATTAATTTCTGATGAACTAAGAGATTATGAAAAATAATTATGTAATAAACCTTGTATTTAAGGTAAACACATTATCTGTTCTTGATCTAGCAGAAGCTGGAGATCTTCCTCTCTTTCACAATCAGACATTAGATAGAAGACTAGGAATTCAGGAGATCAGGGATATACATCAGAAAACAGACACTTCAAATGAGACATTAGACTAGACACGAGACAGACAGGAGACAGACATAAAATATACATATAATATACATATAATCACCCAAAGAGATGCATAGTTTATTGCATTATTTGGAGAAGAATAAAATCCACAAATTCTTAGATCTAAATCATCATCATTTAACATTTTCTTAATTGCTGAAGACCTTCCCTTCTTAATTATTGTTCACTTCTGTTTTGATATCCTGGATATGGTTAGGGAGGTATGTGAGAGTTTAGAATCTAGTGGAAATCTTGAATGGACGGATAAATCTAAAACTAGAGCGTACATATTCTGGAAATCTCCGCCACAACTTGGAATGGAGATTTACAGGTAGAGTTGAAATAATATTTATCTATATCTTTCTAATTCTACCTCGACTGCTTACTAAAGCCCTCTAACTTTCGAAGAAAATATAAAAAATATCTCAACTTTATTAATTAACTTTTAAAATTTGATTTTTAAGATGGGTTCAAGAGACAGGACAAACTGGAACTGTGATGACACTGACAGAGCTTCAGGAGGAAGGTGAGAACGGTAACTCCTGGAAGGGGGTCAGCCACGAGATCATACTGAAAGCTCTCTTGGCGCTCCAGAAGGAGAAGAAGGCGGAGGTGTTTGAGGACGAGGACGGAGTAAAATTCTTCTAAGAACTAAATTAATCTAGTGATTCTCTATCTAGTTATCATTATTATCGTGTTCTACTATTTACATGAAATGAATTGACACTGTAAATCTAAATGATTATCAAATTGATATGAATTTGCTTTCGTACCAACGAACAAAGATATTTTTCCTTTTATTTATGAAATGAATTGCAGATATCAATGATGAACTTGTCCAAGTTCAGTGAAATGTTTGACAAAAAGAAGACCTTCAGGCCAAAGAAGAAGTTCCAGCCTGGTACGATGAAGTATTCTCTGCATAAGCAGGCTCAGGCCAGTCTTAACTCCGGGATCAATCTAAGACAAGTTGTGAAACTTCCTAAGGTGATTAATGATCATTATTTTATGTCCCTAGTGACCACATTATCTTCTCGATCCATCCAGACTTAACATTTACCCCCCCCTCCCCTGTTCTCTTATTTTGGAAAATATGTTTTCCTAATAAATTTATTTATTGTAGGGAGAGGATTTTAACGACTGGTTGGCAGTTCATGTCGTGGATTTCTTTAATAGGATTAATCTCATCTATGGAACAGTTTGTGAACAGGTGAGTTTTTAAATTTAGTTAAACCAGTGCTTAGGATCCATTTAAATTTGATGCGGATCCGGATCCTGGATCCGCACTGGAAAAAAATGGATCCGGATCCATGTCATTTCTTTAAGATTTACTGAATTTTTTTTAACAAAAAATAATTTTCAAATGTTTTGTTATATTTTTTACGCTTATTTTTATCCTAAAACTTGATGAACCATTCAGAAATGAGGAAATTATTATAATCTCGCTTTTTTTAAAGTTCAGATTTTGGTTTTAGGAGTAACAAAGTTTTTTATGCAGTGTTTGGTTGATATTTTACCCCTTGAATCCGAAGCACTGAGTTAAACGTAGAATTAAAATCAGCTTAGGACTTCATTTTGAGCCGGATCCGGATCCAGCTCCTATAACTTAAATTTATTTTACTTCACTTCAGAACTTTTTTTGCTTATAAATGTGTTTGCTGATACTTGATTGGCCATTGCTTGATCAGAGCTGTTTACCAATCTATCATCAGTAACACTAGGTTTATATTTTTGGAGAAAAATCTTTTTTTACACAGCCTAATCTAGCTTAAATTCTTGATCTTTCATAAATTTTTATCTCTGAAGAGCAAACCAAAGCGCATTGAACTTTCGTTTAGTTTTTATCAGTGTTTCGGATCCATATCATTTTGATTCGGATCCGGATCCGGATCCGAGGTAAATTTTGATTCTGTGAATCGGATTTTCCCTATTAAATGTTATGCAAGGTTATAATTTATAAACTATATTTATTATATATTCCGAAACCGGGCGAAATGTAACAAAAAAAATTTTAAAAAATCCTAAAGTTAAAAATGTCGTCATTAATTTACTATTATATAAATGTAAACATTAAATTATTAAAGATAATTTTGAAAAATTTTCGTCATGTAAAATGTAAATAATACATTTACGAACCATTTTGATTTATTTATTCCATGGTTTTGGTAAATTTTTGGCGCTACCCGGATCCATATCAACGTTTCCTGATACGGATCCGGATCCGGATCCGAAACACTGGTTTTTATAAAGTTTAGTGATTAAATATAGGGGAGATTATTATAGTCTTAATTTATCTTCAATAATTGATATTACAGTGTTCCAAGACATCTTGTCCTACGATGAGCGGTGGACCTAAATTTGAGTATTTGTGGCAGGTACACTTTACAGAGTATTCATTCTGCCAACTTTTTGATAAAAGAACTCTCCCCCTTCAGTCTTGGTTGTATACAAACACTACTTCAGGTTAAATGTGGTTAAGTTAAATAAATATTGATAGTTGGAACTGAGGTTGCTGTTAGTAGCGGCATTTCCTCAGATTTTACCTTTTCGTTCTGTTTTGAGATTCAATAATATTATTTAATGATTTTTGTGTGTATTTTTCATAATGGTAACACTACAATTTTACAAAAACAAACACAGTTTTGTTTTCAATGTTAAGTTTGAAAATTGAATATATTATCTAGGACGGAGTAAAATATAAGAAACCCGTTCACCTGCCTGCTCCGGAGTATATTGCCCTGTTGATGGATTGGATTGAATCTCAGATTAACGACGAGTCCCTCTTCCCGGTCACAACAGATATACCCTTCCCCAAGGTGTTCCAGCCGCAGTGTAAGAAGATACTGACCAGACTCTACAGAGTTTTCGTTCATGTTTATGTTCATCACTTCGATCGGATCATGTCAATAGGTTAGTTTTTTTTATTTTATATCTCCTCTGTTCAAAACTAATTTTTCCCCTTATGTTGAAATGTTTGCCCAGTGTGCTAAAATTTTTTGGGTTTTTTTTATCTCTTGTAGAGACTGAAAGCGTAAATGACCCTCCATGCAAAGATGCCACTTTGTGATTTACAACCGTGCCCTTAAACGCTTTGTCTGACCTAGTATGAACTAGATATTTATGTTAATAATTCTGAAAACTAATTATTTTTAATTGGGTTTCTTTACGAAATATCTTCCACATCGTTGATTAGATAAAGGTTTCAAGGGTACCGTCTTGAAACTGGTATCTTTGCATGGAGGGTCACCCTAAGATTACGTATGAGTGTCCCTTTATTTGAAGAAAATATTGATATTTTGAGTAAAAAGTACCAAATAAAAGAAAATATTGATATTTTGAGTAAAAAGTACCAAATAAAAGAAAAAGTCTAATTTCACATAGTTAAATCAAAAATCTTCGAAAATCATATTTTCAAAAGTATTAATTGAACAGCTGAGCTGAAACCTAACCCCCTGTTGATTCTGTAAAATATATACCCTGGATGGAGTTTGCCTTTTAACATTCATTTGCGCTCAGCTGTTCCAGTAATATTGTTTGAAAATATTTTTTATATGCAAAACCTTAGGAGTAAAAATCCATAAAAATCGGAATTTCAGTAGTTACTTAGTTATTTACTTGATCTGTAATACTAGGAGCTGAACCCCACGTGAACACCTGCTACAAGCACTTCTACTATTTTGTTACGGAGTTCGATCTAATCAATGAGAAGGAGTTTGCTCCGCTTCAGGAGATGACCCGGAGAATCTGTACAGATATTATAGCTCCTCCTACTCCTACAGGTGGGTTTCATCATATACAGGGTTACCCACAAAGGATGAGACTTAAGAGACGACTGTATATCTTCTGTTTTCTTATATTCATGATTCTCTGCAATTGTAAACTGTACTCTTTTTTTGCCAAATCATTAAATCAACAGTTATTAATAGCATCAAGTCGTTTTTAAACACAGTCCCATCCTTTGATGGTAAACCTGCAAGTTCTAAAACCGGTTTCTAGGTTTCATTAATCTTAAAAATATCCGTATATATTTTTTATTGACGGGTCTTGGATCCGAGTCCGCCAATGTAAGAGATCCCATACACTGCGTCGGATTAACATAATTTCTTACGATAATACTGATCTTGGATCCGAGTCCGCATCATAATGTAAGGGTTCCATAGCATTTCATGAAGAGCTTAATACATTTATTTTTAGAACCGCACAGAAATATTTTGTCAGCCGAAGGGTCATCTGCTCATAGGCATTGATATCTTTATCATTCATTCGTTTAATGTTCCATTCTTCCTATCAACCTACACTTCCCTTCATCCTACTTTGATATTCTGAAACACAAATATCCGCCTTGGAGATACTCCGCCTTCTAAATTATCTTGGACTCCGCCTCTAAATATCCAGTTCTACTACAAAAAATCTCTGCCAAGTATTAACTACTATTAAGAAAAGACTTTAAGCGTAATTTCAACTGACCCTTCTTGCAAGACTGGCAATGCCCAATTTACAATTGTACCCTAAAGGCTTTAACGCTTTGTGTGAATGTGATTTCTTTTGCGCATTTCAACTGCTAGAAAACTTATGGGAATTTTCAGAATTATCAGAAATAAACACTTTTAAACCTAGAAAAACGACCATATCTTCCACATTATTCTTTGAGTGGAGGGTTAAGTTACTTGAAATTATCCTTACAGTCCTTTTAGAATACATTATCTCAGTATGAACTGGAAAAATCCGTTTGTTCACAGCTGAGGTCCTGTCGAATCTCAATCCACCATATTTTATTCTTTACATTTCTTGAAACTATGATGATATTCAAACACTTAACTAATGAAATTTTTAACATGATCTTCATGATTAATGCAAATTATATAAAACTATCTTTAATATCGTAGAACTTGTGCAATTTTTCATAAGCAAAGTTGAGCTGCTTAATATACTGATTATTGATTAATTACTACAATCTACCTTGTACAATGTGAACAAGTAATATTATATCCTTTGTCTAGTCACATAATGATTAACTTGTATAAATTGACGATATAACTAAGGAATCTAATATTTTTAAAGAATTGCATGATAATATTTAGTTTCAAGCTTGCAACATGAGAAAAACTATTTGAATCCCGATGTGAGCACGAAATAACTATAAAGTCGAATCCGAATATCTGGCATAAATCGTTGGCCTCATATCTGTTCTAAAGCTTTGCAATGATTCAGAAATATTTACACAATAATAATCAAACCTGTCCTTAAGGGTATGCTTCAGCTGCCTCAGATTGATTAGTAACAGAAAGGCCTACTGGAAAAAATGGGGGTGGGGAAGACAATCTTTAAAGTATTTTTTATATTATTTTTCAAGGGTATATATTTTCTAAAATAATTTTTCCCATCCCTCCCCCCCTCCTAGGGTTGAATTTGAGAAAATATATATTATTTCAAGGAAAAATCAATGTATTTTATGTGGAAGGTCTAAAAAGATTAGGGAAAATATTTGCCAGTTCAGGTCAAATTTTTATTTTTCCCCAGAGCATCAAAAATCATAATTCTCAAAAGAATCCCCCTGGATTGATTTTAACGATGTTAAGTTTTGCTTAAGTTTTTTTTTTTATTTTTTCCGCCTAAATTCGTTTCTAGGTTTTTTCAATTCTTTCTTAATATTAGAATCCTAGGTTAGAATTCATTCTCTGAACACTGCACTCTGCACAGTTTGTCTTTTCGTTAGCTTCTCTTCACTCGTGAATGACTTTTGCTTCTATTTGTTACAAAATTATTCATGCTTTATGCATATATAATATAAAGATTAAAACTTGTGAATTGTAAACCACAAGTCCTAAATTATTTGTCAATTCGCCCAAACTCTGTATATTTTGATGTTGAATATTCAAGTTAAAGTCAATTTTATTAAATGAAATAGTTACTGACAAAGTACAAACAATTTAAATAATCTTTTTTCTTCCTCAATTGTTTATTGTTTGCAGTGATTTTTGCAGTTCTAACTTGCCACTAACTGGCATACCATAATTTTTATTTCATCCTAGTATTTTTATTCACTATCCCTTGACTTTCCTACAACCTTCATGGCCGTTCATAATATTTTTTTAAAATATTGTTTGTTAAACCATATTGTAAATACATTTATTGAATATACAATACTTTACACAATACTTTACACAATACTTTACACAATATACATGTAATATTGCTTTGTATTTTATTATTTATGTATAAATTGACTAAAAATGCGGGAGCTGTAACGAAAAATGGAAGATATAGATGGAAGAGCAAGTTATTTTCTGTTTTAATTCTGGAAGACATTATTTTTAAGGTAAGCTTCTTAAAAATAATTTTGGTGTACAGTTGTCGTCGTAAATATCAATACAATGAAGACGACTTTCGATTTCAATTTATTGCCTGCCAGGCATTTAAACGGGATGGATACGGAAATAATGAGACGCTCTTAATTAACAATTTCTCGTTTGTTCTCTTGTAAACGTGTAATTTGAAAAAAGCTTGTTAGAAGTTAGAACTTATATCAAAAATTCGTTTTCATTGTATTGATTTTAACGCCGACAACTGTAAGTAAAAATATTATGACAGCAATAAATTCCCTAAGATTTATAAACAAAATTAAATTGATCTAGGATATGTTTTATTTTGTCCTCATCTTGCTGTTTTAGATCTATATTAGAGAACTCTCCTCGTATGGATACGATGGTGGATCTTGATCATTCATGTACTCGCTCCGATCCCGCATAGTTCGAACAGAATCGCTGGAGGAGTTCTCATTACTAGAGCTTGTGCTTCCGGAACCCTTGGCGAAGGTGACCCTCTTGACAATGCTGGTATCGGAGACGGAGTTTGTGTGCTGGAGAACCGACACTATGGAGACGCCGCCGACAGGAAGTGTGTTGTACTTTGGGAGTAGAGCGGTTTTCAGAGCATCTGAGCTAAACCCTTCAAATGTGATCTAAAAACCAAAAAATTTGTGAAACACGGTTTTAAGAAACTTCCTTATATTAATTGTTTCGCATCAAATCAGATTAAAATTAGTATTAAATGGCGTTAAAGAGAAATTAAAAGCTCAAACTTTATGAAGAAAAAATATCGAATATAATTTTAAATTTGATACACGCCGCCGTGGCCATAGAACATTTAGGAGTTGTGATCTAGCCACGACTACTCAGGTTAAACGCAACATGATTGGTCAACTTGCTTCGTAATAGTCGAAGATTGTTCTATGTCATGTTTTTATATTATTTTTATCATTTATATAGAAAACCTTAGTAATATTAACCTGATTGAGTTGGTCCATGCTATGTACTCTATGAACCCCGCTTCTAATTTTGTGTACTCCGGGAATATCCTGGAAATAAGAAAAATTATAAATCATTCTCTCATGTGCCTATTATTTGCTCAGTCGATCACAATAGTCGGATGAAATCTCCTGGTTTCAAATTTATTTTTAAAATGTATTTATCTTTGTGATCTTATATTTAACAAATGTATGAAGTGTAATGGAACAAATGAAGAAATTTAGGATAATCTCACTGTTTTTCAGCAGTGAAGATTTAGATTTTGGGAGCAAAAGATTTATGTGTGCAGATTTTGGTTGATATTTTGCCCTTGGATCCGGATCCAGGAATTCAAAATTTTGCGGATCCAACGGATCTGGATCCGGATCCTAAGCATTGCTTTAAAAGGGAAGAATTTTTTGCAACTGATATTTTTTACAATTAGTTTTCGCAAACTGAATAATAATACTGCACTTTAGAGAATACAAACTTAAATTCCGACTAGTCTTGGGATCTTAAATGTTTTCTGCCTTTCCAAACTTCAAAAATGACAAATCTTAAATTGGAGTCAAGATTTTAATAAGAGTTAAAATCAAAATGTTAATTATTGAAAACACCGTATTTCTAAGAATTACAGAACGGCTGGTCGCTCTTTAAACGTTTATTCTGCGATTCAAGCATTGTCATTCATTAACTATGGAGAAATTAAGGACTAGATAAAGTCTCGTTCCAATATGTACAAAAACATACTAATTTAGTTCTTATATTTTTACATTTTAGAATTAATATGCACTGTTGAGTAGGTACCTGATCAAGTCCTTGGTTAAATGCTATATGAGTGTGAAGGGTTTTATCCTTGAAGATATCTCTAGATCTTCTAATAATACTGATGGAAACCATGACTATAATGAACGTGAATATGAGGAGTCCTGATACTCCAAGAAGGGGAAGAAGCTTCTCTATCATCTGATCTTCATATAGGAGGGATACATCTGTCGGAGCAGAGGTGCTGTCCTGCTTTGATTCTTTCATGGAGAGAACCTGACTAAACTTTACCTTCTTCTCCACCCCGTTCCCTTGGCTGGGTAGACCCTGGAGAACGGATACATTAATGGTATACACCGTGTTTTGTCGAACTGCGGGGAAACTAAAGGTTGGGACGGAGGATAGAAGAGTTCTACTGATACCTAGTCCTGTATCCAGCAGTTCAGCTTCGTATTCAACATGTTCATCGTAAACCTGGTTTTCAGGATCACAAACCACCAGGATAGTTTCCCACTTCGTAGTCACCTGGCAGCTCTTCAACCCAGGGACTGATATCTGGAATATGAAAAAGAATGTCAGAGCAATTAGGAATATTGTAACTTCAACTTTTTTTATGTTTCAATATTATTTGGTTCAAAGGTGACAGTTTGCTGAAGCGGTTGGGATATTATACGCAATACATGTATTTTACAATGAGTGTGGCATATCGTTTCGAAAATGTTTTAAAAAATACTTGTAGAGATGTTTTCCATTAAAGTTACCTTTAACGTACATATGTAGTTACCTTTAACGTACATATGTAGTTACCTTTAACGTACATATGTAGTTACCTTTAACGTACATATGTAAAAGTTCATATAACTAGTTTTGAAGCCGGTAGTTAACTTACCTTCTTATTTATTTGATATTTACAAGGTCTTCCAACTCCAACGCTGTTTCTAGCTCTGCAGGTTACAGTCCCAAAATCTCCAGGAGTCCTGGGGGTAAGGGTTAAGACGGATCTTCTCTCATGCTGAGTGTACTGGGAGGATGGAACATCTACAGGGTTCACAACGTCTCCGTCCTTGATGTGCAGGTTCCAGAGGAAAGTTAGGTTCACTGGGTTCGAGTTCATCTCACAAACCAGATCCACGGACTCGTGAACAGAAATAAATATGTCAAGAACAGTTTCATCTCTACAGATAGGAGGATACTGCACATCTACATAAATAGAGTTAGATTCTCCGACACCCTGGAGATTCTCTGCTAGGCAGGTATAGAACCCGGCCTGCTCAACCTTAATGTCCTGGAGGATGAATTTGGACGAAGTACTGGATTGCGAATTTATTCTACCCAGTTCCTTGTGTCTCCAATGATATTCGAACGGTTTAGGGTTGGATTTTGCTTCACAAGAGAGAATTATTTTTCGCGCCACTTCTACGGATAAACTGCTCTGGTTTGTATATTCAGGATATTCCGCCCTAATGACGGATATGGGCGGATACACCACACTAATCTTCCACTGATCCTCTAAAGCTTCATTAGGAAGATATTTGTTAAGAGCACGACAGCTGATAAATTCTCCGTCATGTTCAGGAGTTGGGATGAAAGTGGAAACAATAGTAAATATTTTCCCGTCCGAACTCTCGCGCACGTTTATGTTCTCAAGCTTCTTTCCTGCAACCCACAGAAATGTTGTTGGGGTTGGATTGGAACCAAGAACCTGACAAGTCAGGTTATACGAGGTTCCTGCTACAAATGTTGAGACTGTTCTTGATATTTCAACTCGGACTGGAGCTAGAACTATCTCGAGTTTGACTGAAGCTTGTGGTGGGGAGTATAGGTCGTTGTTCTTAGCTAAACATGTTACTGTCTTCCCTGAATCCTTGATCTGAAGATTCCTCAGCTCTAGCCTAGAGGATACAGAGTTCTCAACCTGGACAATATCTACTGGAGCTGCAACAGTTTCATTGTCAAGAATCCAGGATAGAACAGGTTGAGGGGATCCACCAAATGATTTACAAGAGAGACTGATGGAACCATTGATTCTGCTGCTTACAATACGATCCGTGATCAGCTGACCCTTCCCGTTGTATATATTGAGTGCGTCCACCTCGGTTGCAAGCTCCACAAAGATTTTAAAGTTCCTGGTGGCAGCTTTCCAGAAGTCCACCCTGCACCTGTACGGTCCAGCGTCCGACGGTTTTGTGTTGGATATATTAAGATATGCCATGATAAGATCCTTCTCCTCCGAGATAAAGAAGTTTTCTCTGTTTCCCAGAACATTCTCATCTCTCCAGTGTGTTGCAGTTTTCAACCCGTTCCTACCGTCCACACTATAAATCGGAGTTCCAAATATATTCTTGTACCACAGGATTAGATGCGGACTATCTCCGGGTCCAGGAGGAGTAATATCACAAGGAATGGTCACAGGATATCCAACCACTCCGCTAACCTTCCCAACCATACCCTTGCTCTCCACCCCTCCCAAGAACAAGGAATATAGAAGGAGTAGGAACATATTTGAAATCACTACGCCTGAGAATAATATAATTGAATCATTGTGCATATCATGTCAACTTCAATTCAATATTATTTATAAGAATTTCAAAAAACGAAAACAAAAACCAATTCAAGCTAAAAATATTATCATATTTAGTTCACATATCTTTAAGGTTAAATTGGTATCATACCTTAAACTTTGTCGGAGCTTAGAAACTTGGTTATCTTTTCCGCCTCATCGATTATTCATTATAATACTTAAATCTTGGATAACAAAATTATCCTTTTCTTTTCACTATAATTTAGTCTGGACCAACAAATGTTCAAGTGTTAATAAACATTTGGTTTTATGAATATTAAATTGTCTGTTAGTATTGATGTTGTATAGTGTAGCGTGTTGTATTGAATACTGGTGAATATATTGTAACAGTTTGTGTTTAACTAGAATCTCTGCCAAATTATGCCCACATCGAACACTGTGGAGCTGCCCTGTCAAGTCTTTATTGGTATATCCTGTCAGGGCCCTTTAACACTAGACTTCAATCTAGATCGGGAGATGAAAACTCAAATTTTAATCTGAACTTCATATTGACATACATATATATCTTATCAAATAATTCTTTAGTGTTCTTCTTAATAACTATCCTTTTTTTCTACTTACAGCTAGATCAAGTTAAAAAAGTTTAAATGTATATTTAAACCCCTTTTAGAGAAAGACCCCATTATTACTTCTCACAAATCCTCCTGACAAAACCGATTAGATGGGTGGATAATAGCACTTATCATGTATATTCCCTCCTCCCGTCAGAGGAATGGATGGTTCGGATAACGCTGAACAGATTCTATCTTTCTCCGCTCATTAAATATATTCCCACCACACACATCACCCAATATTTTACAGAATTGTTTCTTCCCTGGATAGTGGAAACTTAAATACAGTTCTCATTTTTCAGTTTGTACAAATTTGTGAAAAAAGTTATCTATTAGATATTTTGAATTCTTTCTTGTTTGTTTAAAAAGAAACATTTGCGCTAAACCCTACTGGATCAACATTGAGGAAGATATCATCGGTTTTCTTTCTTGAAAAGATGCATTTTTCTAATTTCATTAACTCCTCCGGTGTATAAGTCCACGAGTCATTTTTAAAAAGAACCGCAATTTGAAGCAATGAATTTTCAACTAGAAAAATTAGAATACCTGCATTGTGAGTCAGACATGCCACTTGATAAGTTGAGGGACAATTGAAACTATGACTGCAGTCCATATAGCTAAGACTTTCTGACAATGGAAGCAAATATCAATTTAATATAATGTATATTTCCAAGAGAAAATGGCAGAGGAAGAGATGATGATGAGTCCTGAGGACGCGAGTAAACTCCCTTCCTTCCACGATACCTTCTCCGGGTCCCCACAACTAGTGAATACACCTCTACGCTTCAACGATACTGGAGCAGTGTCTTCTCCCAGCTCTGATAGTAGCCACGGTATTCAAGGTAAGATAAAATATTTAATCATTTTGAAAAAAGAGGATGCACTGTTCCTCAATAAGGATTTAAAAAGGAAACATTTCTTTAATTCAATGATAATTTAATATTTTTTTGTGGATCTAAAAAGATCTATATAGATGGAGGAAGGGGAAAAGAAAACTTTTATTGTATTACTTGGCAAGTATTGGGGTTGTAGGCGATTATATCAATACCATGAAGACGACTTTCGAATTCAATTTTGATTTATATCAAGCTATTAAAAGGCATGGATACACAGAAACATAGAAGTCAAGAGAGGCTGTCATTTTAATAAGTTTCTCTTTGATTAATTGTAAACTTGAAATTCAAAAAAGGTTGTTAACAATCAAAACTTAAATTCAAAATTCGTCTTCATTGTATTGATCGCTTACCAATGTATGATTTAATGCGGGTTATTTTGCCACAAGCTTAAATCTTATCCTTATATCTTTGTAACATGATATTGTAACTATAAACCTTTGATATTTCAAATTAAATTATTTGATTTAACAGAATATTCATAGTTTGAAATATCTAAGGTCTACAAAATTGGTTGCAAAGATAAAGGGATTAGAAAATCAAAGTTTGTGACAAGACCCGCCCAAAAACAGAACCTCTTTTAACTTTTAACATTCCTCGTTTTCTTTTTCCTTTTTTTGCAGTATATACTTATTCTTTTATGGTTATGTTTAAGTAAATCTGGTTGTTGACGCCATTCTGAAGAGTTACAATTCTAAAATTGTTTTGATGAAAAAAAATTTTTTTTGGTAAAAGCCATTGTCTTCATCCCATTTACATATTTGATTCTATTTTGTTCACAATTTATACATTTTATCCAGAGTTATTCAAAGATTTCTATTTTTAGTTCATCCTATTTTGAATACCCATGTTTACTTAAAAAAACTTTTTCAATTTCAAACTGCATCTATCTAATATTAAATAAGTAAAAAAATATTTTTCAGATTCCGGAAATTATTTTGGGATGAACCTATCTACTCCTATGTCTGGGGTTTTATATACTAAACCGACACATGTCTTTTCAACTCCGATCTCTGGTGGACAGCAACTAATCAGTTCCTTGACTGATCTGAGTCCTATCGGAGCAAATGACTTTGGTCACGCAACCCAGGCAGCTGCTGGTAGTATTCGGTTTCAAAAATACTGGTCTGTTGAGAATCCGGCTCAAAAGTATTTATCTGAGGTTATTTTTCATGTTTTTAAAAGATTGTCAACCTTATTTAAAGTTTATCACCACATTCTTTTTGCTATCCCTTTTGCTATGCCAATCAGGAGGAAAACCTTGCAATCTTTTGTCTAATTCTCATTTTTCTTCTAAAGGTTGGAAAATCAACCCCCGGCCCCTTGGAAAAAATGCTTAGTACGTATCTCTCACAATATGAATAATATGGTAACAACTTTGTGTAATAGAACCGTCTTGGATCAGAAAACATGGAAACCAGCTCTTACGGAGCCCCGAGTCAGGAGGATCTGACTAACCTGGTTTCAATGAATCCGAGCCTGTATGATGGAACCTACCAGGAGCAGTACACCGAACCTGTAGTAAGTGTTGACATGTCACAGAACTACTTCTCCCACCAACAGGTTTGTTAAAGTGACTGTCGAAGTGGCATTAGCGATTCACATCGGTTACCTTGAAACATTTGTTTGATTAAAAAATATTCTCGTTTATATAAAAATTGATAATTTCAAATCTTGATTTTGCTTTTAATTGGAATTGCGTCTTAGTCACAACTCTAATTTTCTAATTCCTGTTTCTTTCCAACCCAATGTCGTAGACCTTAGATATTTCAAACTATTAATTATGTTTGATCAAATGATCTCAGTTTGAACTATCAAAGGGTTACATCATCAGGTTGCAAATATATACAGGGATTAAAAAATGTAAGTTTGTGACAAAGACTCAATTCCTTTTGTGCCACAAAGACAAAGTACAAAATTTTCAAAATTTAATTCTTAAGATGGAAGAACTACGATTGCATCCCCATTCTTGCTTATTTTAAGATTTAAAGGGTACCGTTGTAAATTGGAAATGCCACTCCTTTTTTAAACGGAAGGTCACTTAAAATCACGTCTACATACAGTCCCTTTCAGGCAAATAACTGAACGATCCCTTCATCATGACATTTCGAGTTTTTTCCCCAAATACTGAGCAGTCTTGGTCTTTGACATTCATGTCAGAAGCTGGTTTCCCCAATACTGAGCAGTCTTGGTCTTTGACATTCATGTCAGAAGCTGGTTTCCCCAATACTGAGCAGTCTTTGACATTCATGTCAGAAGTTGGTTTCCCCAAATATTGAGCAGTCTTGGTCTTTGACATTCATGTCAGATGCTGGTTTTCCGTCATTTTAAGCAAGTCAACCCTCTAACTAAATTTTTTATTTTATCTAATTATGATGTATAATGCCAGTTTTCTTATTATTCTGTTTCTATTCAAGGAGGAAATTAGTTATTAGTTCCAATTTTACTGTAAGACTAGATTGGGAACCACCAAACAATCCACTTCACTTAGATTTTTTCAACTTTTCAAATTTAAACCAAGCTAATTCCCCAATCAAAATTTGAGGCAAATCGGTCAAGAGGTTCCTAAGTTGTGAGCAGACATGCAAACTAACAAACAAACAGACACCAAAACAGAGATAACCAAATAGATTATCATGTACAATAGGTGGCAACAGAGAAATGTCCCAATTATACATGACGTCACAAGCGTCAAATATAACAAGGAAGACAACATTTTCTCCCATTAGTTGACATTGTTTTCCAAGATTAAATAAAAAAGTGTAAAACAGAAAAAAATGAACACAAAATTGCACTTATTTTATCATTACTATTATCATACAATTTTGTCGGGCACATATAACTGTTGACACTTGTGACGTAACAATTCAATTGTACTGAGAGTGTTCAAATTCTACGTTGCCCTCTATTGTAATTGATAATCTATTTTAAGATAACTACTTTATATATAAAGATGTATGTTTAGAGTATGATGATTATGAATAAGGAGGAAAGTTTTGGATCTGGTCCTGATCTCGCGTCTCCATCAAACCCGGCGAAACCCCATAAAGGGATTGTATACGCATTTCTTCATCTATTTGAAAGTACAGAAAATACTCAAATGTTTGGTATTAGGAACACTGTTAAGTTAATCTTAGCTTAAAGATGTCCTTATGGGACAGAATCATCGACACTTTTTCGCCACATAATCATGGAATTTCGTAAATATTTAAAATACTTTATCCCTTCAGACTAGGCAGAAGATAAAGGTCAAATTAATGCAACATCACTGGCATGGCTTTTTGTCCTCGTAGCTCTATTAGTTTTGATTTTATGAAGTATATAATAAAAAGCAAAGGAATTATCAATTAAGCCTTATAAAATCAAATACACATTTTAAGATAGAAATAAAAAAAGGTTTTGAACACCCACATACTACCCGTCCTTGTCTTGTACACGATATGCTACATAGTAACTTTAATACTCCGGCAGTTTGTATCAAGGTTGTAATGCAAGGAAAGTTAATTGCTGTCGCGTATACTCTGCGTACATATTGAAACCAGTTCTCTCTGGTCGGAATTTGTAAACAAGAATAGATGCATCAGTGTTCGTTTAGTATCCGAGGAGATTAAAAGCATTATATTTTGATAATTTTGATAATTCACATAATAGTTTCCTATGACCAGAATATTTCATTGATTTTTTATGTGAAAAATGGATCCTATGTCAGGCTTTGACATCCGTCTTGTGTTTACATCACCGCCCTGAGACAGTACACTGCAGTACAAAAGATGCGTACACTTCTGAAATAACTTTCCTTGCATTACATCCTTGGTTTGTATCATCCTTCTTTAAATATGAAATAACAAAGTCACGTATACAATCCCTTCAATAATATAGAGGAAAGCACATTTTTACAATCAATTTAACCTTATCGTAGATTTGGCAAACACTAATTGGTCTAGAAATTTAATATTGCAAAATAGGTTGTCACACCACTCAAATCTATATTATAAAGCTCTTTGCTTATATGTAAATATTAGGCTTTCAGGGGGCTTCGCGCCGATCTTCTATTTCAATTGTGAACATGTTCTCTTGGTATACATTGTAAAACAATAACAAAAAAGTTCGCGGATTTGATAAACAAAAATCGTGGATTTTTTAAATTTAATGAAAATGGAAGTTTGTAGGAGGCTAATTTTTGAAATTTTTATCATTCATAAACCTCCCCTGGGGTCATCCGATGTCCCACACAAAATTTGGGCCCGATCAGTTCAGCCGTTTTGACGTTTATTGAATACATACAAACAGACAAGCAAAGTAAATATATAGAAATATTAGCTGGAACCAAATTGTATAGAGAACCCATTGGTACCCAGGGAGTGAACTAGGAAATAACAAATTTGGATTTTTAAAATTCCACGGGCAACGCCGGGAGCTTTAGCTAACATCGTGATGTAATACAAATCGCGGGAAAACGATGGGAGTAACTATGAGTAATAATATAAACTAGGGCAACGCTGGATTTTCCAGCTAGTATCTTTGTAAAATAAAATGCGTGTTAATTTTTCTCATTGAAAAATATTACGAATAGCACTAAAACTTCAATCAAGGCGATTGCCCCCCCACACACAAAAAAAAATTAATGAATTGTTAAAACGGAGAAATGTTATTTCTATGGAAACACAATCCATGTTTTGATTCAAGAAGATTTGTCCCACGGGGGGTTAAAAAACATTAGACGGACAATTATCAAATATTTTTGTTATTTACTATGTCATTGGGTTTGAGGGGTTAGTAGAAAGGGGATGTCACAGAGTAAGCGGGAGTTCACCGAAATTTACAGACAAGCAATTTTTAAAACTTGATTTATTTTAAATTATATAAACTGTGCTTGAATACAGGTTCATGTTGCGGTTAAATCTGCTCCTATACACCCGAAGAAAAGGTTGGATATCTTAATATTTTTTTTTAAATAAAAAATCTAAATATTTTTGTAAGTTTGTATTATTCCCGGGAAAAGGAAATGACCATCATATTTTTGTATTTTTCCTATACAATGAATGTCTTTGTACAGGGTTTTTAATTTTTGTAAATAATTTTTTTATTTATTTATCATATTGTGTGTATACTATTCCTAATAAAGCTTGAATGTATGTGTGTATTGCACACTTATTTATCCTCAATACTTAGCTGCAATATTACAAATTTCGGATTTTTTGTGTATCATGTCAATTTCTCATATTAAGGTTCCTACGTAACAACTTCGTCTGTACAGGAACTGAGATTTTGCCACAAACTCTATTTATTTGCAACATAAAGTAGTCACCTTTGATATTTCAAATTTAATTATCAAAGATTTACAGCATTATTTTGCAAAGAATATGGATTTAAGTTTGGGACAAAAACTGGTATAGATTTAATCAGATCGATTTGTATTGTTATTACCTTCAGAAATTCTATGTTTAGGAAAAGAGAATATCTGTGTATGTTTTGTCCTCTGGAGAATGGTGACCTAGGTTCCTCGAAGCTTCTGGTTGAGCACTTTAGATCTCATTTGGTAAAGTACAATCAATAACCTTGTCGGACACGATAAACAAATCCTAACTTGTAAGATTTTTGATGATCTGTGTCTCAAGTAAAGAAAGATAATGTCCTCATTTATAATGTTTTTATTTTTAGACATTTTTTCATCTCAGAAAATAGTCTTTTGTTAGTGATTTTATTAAAGAAGTTAATTTTATGTATTGAATATTAAACAGATTTATTTTGGCAGAAAAATATGATTTAGCTATTGATAGAAATTACAACCAACATAAAAAATGTGCTTTTAAAAAAAATTAATTCACATATTGGTAATTTTATCTAATTTGATTTCGGGGCTACAAGTCCTACAAGAGAGGTAGTATAACTATCCGTACAGCTATGTGAACACGATGTAAGTTAAGAAGAAAAGCGTAAAATACGAAATCATAACATTCAAAAATTATTATTAACGTTATCATATTTTCATGATATTTGTCTTTGCATACTGCATAGGATTTAATTGCATCAGCACTTTTTGCTATCTGGATCTGGATCCGGATCCAGGTTATAAACATTAACTGATTTTTTTTTACAAAACAAGAATTTTTAAACTATTTTCTTATTTTTTTCGCTTTTTTATGCTAAAACATAAGTAACTTTTTTTATAATCTCTCTTCTTTCATTAGTTCAAATTTGTGTTTTGAGAGCAGCAAGGTTTTTTTTTACAGTTTTTGGTTGATATTTTGACCCGAACATCCGGATCCTGATTCAGAAGCCAAAATGTTTTCAATAAATTTGTATTTGCCGGATTCAGATATAGATTCGCATAATCTGCATCAGAAAAATGAATCCCACGTACTTGATGATATTTTATTTTTTACAGTTTACTTTGTTCGGCCATGCAAACGTGTCTTCAAATGTCTGTATTAGAAATTATTTAAAATGTTACCAGCTAATGAGAGACATTAGTTCCTTAATTTCTTTATTTTAAGTTTATTATATTCTTTATTTCAAGTTTATTATATTCTTTATTTCAAGTTTATTATATTCTTTATTTCAAGTTTATCATATTCTCTCTTTAGAACAATCTCCTGGAGGATGAGAAGAAGCCGGACAGAAAGAAAAAGGAGAAAAAGAGTAAACACAGATCAAAATAATTATGCTGAAGTTTTTGTTTACGGTTTTCTAAATACTAGTATCTGTATACTAGAGAATAAAAGAAAAATTAAATAAAAATTACAATTGGGAAGAAATATAAGTTTTAATTTCTAAATTAAATACTCCCATAGTTACCTGTAAATGTTTAATGCATGCTTTGTAGAACTACTTAAACACCAACTAGCCATTTTTTAAAACTTTTTTCAGATTGAAATATGTCAGAGCACGAGTTTTTGTTAAAAAGGTTTGCTTGTATTGACGAGGCTGGAGAAAATGAAGTTCTAGAAGATGATAAAGATCTATTCTTTACTGTTCTAATCCTTCAAAGGTGAAATTACAGTGAATACAGTGATAACCATAAAACTCTGAAATAGGAAGAAGGCTTTTAGAATCAAGTTATAACTTTAAAAATTCCAATCAGCATGAGACACAGCAACTGTGCGGTGTAAACAGACCCATTTTCACTTAATTAGTGATTTAAGAACTGTCTTGTAAAATTATTTTCTTTGTAACAACATCAAATACACTATAAATTGTTATAATATCGTCTTCTTATTCCATTGTTTTCTGATTATCACTGTATATTTTTCCAAGGCAGTACAAGAGCCGTTTTAAGGCATGAATTTTGTAACATGGCAAATGTGCTGAAGGGTCAAGCGCCGATACAAGCAAACGAAGCATAAACAAAAAGTGAGTCAGTGGTTTGGGTGTAATAACATTTTTTTTAAAGAAAAAATACTTAATATACTAGCTCCAGATTGGACTAGGAACTGATGAAGATTGAATCCTAGTTGTCAGGTTTACTAATCTACTTCAGATTGGACCAGGAACTGATGAAGATTGTTTCCTAGTTGTCAGGTTTACCAATCTACTCCAGATTGGACCAGGAACAAATGAAGATTGTATCCTGGTTGTCAGGTTTACTAATCTACTCCAGATTAGACCAGGAACTGATGAAGATTGTATCCTAGTTGTTAGGTTTACTAATCTACTCCAGATTAAACCAAAACTAATGAAGATTGTATCCTAGTTGTTTAGGTTTACTAATCTACTCCAAATTAGACCAGGAACTGATGAAGATTGTATCATAGTTGTTAGATTTACTGATCTACTTCAGATTAGACCAGGAACTGATGAAGATTGTATCCTAGTTGTTAGGTTTACTAATCTACTCCGGATTAGTCCAGGAACTGATAAAGATTGTATCCTAGTTGTTAGGTTTACTAATCTACTCCAGATTAGACCAAAACTAATGAAGATTGTATCCTAGTTGTTAAGTTTACTAATCTACTCCAGATTAGACCAGGAACTGATGAAGATTGTATCCTAGTTGTCAGGTTTACTAATCTACTCCAGATTAGACCAGAAACTGATGAAGATTGTATCCTAGTTGTCAGGTTTACAAATCTACTCCAGATTGGACCAGGAACAAATGAAGATTGTATCATAGTTGTTAGGTTTACTAATCTACTCCAGATTAGACCAGGAACTGATAAAGATTTATCCTAGTTGCTAGGTTTACTAATCTACTCCAGATTAGACCAGGAACTAATGAAGATTGTATCCTAGTTGTTAGGTTTACTAATCTACTCTTTGTTCAGGCCAGGAACTGATGAAGATTGTATCCTAGTTGTCAGGTTTACTAATCTACTCCAGGTTGGACCAGGAACTGATGAAGATTGTATCCTAGTTGTTAGGTTTACTAATCTACTCTTTGTTCAGGCCAGGAACTGATGAAGATTGTATCCTAGTTGTTACAGGTTTACTAATCTACTCCAGGTTGGACCAGGAACTGATGAAGATTGTATCCTAGTTGTTAGGTTTACTAATCTACTCTTTGTTCAGGCCAGGAACTGATGAAGATTGTATCCTAGTTGTTAGGTTTACTAATCTACTCCAGATTAGACCAAGAACTGATTAAGAGTGTATCCTAGTTGTTAGGTTTACTAATCTACTCATGATTAGACCAGGAACTGATGAAGATTGTATCATAGTGTTAGATTTACTGATCTACTCTTTGTTCAGGCCAGGAACTGATGAAGATTGTATCCTAGTTGTTAGGTTTACTAATCTACTCTTTGTTCAGGCCAGGAACTCACGATGAAAGTGTGATCCTAGTTGTCAGGCTTACAAATCTTCTATTGATCCTTATGGATATTACAGAGGCAAGAATTTAACTTTACCCTAAAATTTTTTTTAATCTTTCAAAGGGTCGNAGTTAGTTTTAATGCAGATGAATATACTTTAAAATATTGGTCATCAATTGCCAAGTTATTCTTCTTTTTTAATATTTTTGACTCAAAAAATCATTATATCCCAATTCAGCGAGAGAATTAAACCTAATAGATCCTTTTCCTACGGACAATCATTAATTACGTTTTTTACAGTGTTCAGTGGATTTCGTTATGACAGCATCATGTGAAGTTGTTGTATCTTCAACTACACCGCGAAAGGTAAACTAATTATCTGTTCAACGACGACCTCAATAACTTCAGGTCGTCATTGAATTCTCATCTTTCATGATTAGTATATCTATAAACCATTCAATTCAGTATGCAGAACTGTACGTACGTTTGGAACACTTAGAGGTTTAAAGTAATGTTTAAAAATTGTTAAATGAATTAACCCGTTTTTATCTTTATCTTATCTCTTGAAATTATATTCAAGCTTCGTCAACCATTTTTTACGGAAAATCTTTTTAATTAAAGATATTTTTCTTTCTAATAAACATTTCATCGATTATTTTGTTAATTCAGGAGTTTTGGTTGCAGTTTAGTGAAACCGAAATACCTCGGGTTCTCCGGGTCCTTAACCAGTAATCATCAATTCTTATCAGTTTTAAAGAGATCTTATTTTTTATCATCATTTTGATCCAGATCTTAGTTTATATCATCAGTTTTATCCAGATCTTTTTATATCATAATATAATATTTCAAACTTACACTATATATTTGATCTAACAGAATTCATAGTTTAAAATATCAATGCACTACGACATCGGGTTGCTAAGATAAAGGGGGGAAACAGTTAAGAGTTTGTAACAAAAACCCATTTCCTTTCCAGTTTTTTGTATCAAATCTCTTTTCTAGAGGGAAAAAGAACTTCTTACAATTACAATCCCCTTTCCCTTCCCCACCTGATCAAGTGATGGTTTTAGAAACAAACATTCTAGACTTTATCGACATTTTTTCATTAGTTCAGAAACCTGAGTTTCTAACATCTAAAATTTATTTGAATTGATGAGTGTTAACATATAGTGTTCAAAAGATGCCTGCAAGGGTAGATTTCAAGGTTAGAAATTTTTACATATTTATCGAAAAAATTACAGATAATAATTCAAGTTTTTGTTATTCTTAGAATTAAAATATTACTTGTTTTGTAATATGAGACATTATTGTAACATAAATGTCAAACAATGTTAAAAAAATAAGACTATATAATGTTTAATTGTTAATTTTAAAATAGTATATTCACTAATTAAGTTTTTCCTCTGTTAGTAATTTTTTGCTGTTGCAATCTTTAGGTTGCAAATTTAGTTTTTTTATATTCAAAATCTTTTATTTGTTTCAGGGAGTCCTATATGTAGATGCAAACTGGCAAAATGAGCGGATCTTGGAATGTCTAAGGTATAAAAAACTTTTTTGCACAGTTTATGGATTAGAACCAAATCCAAACCAACCTATCTACTCTGATTACAGATTTATACATCATACAAGAGTTTTTTGTGCTTTCAATATAACTTATCAATATCAATATTTTTTTCAATTTATTATGATTATTATTTAATAAGTTGAAATCTGAACGAAATTTTTAATATCTCCGTAAATTTGACATCACTGAAAAGGCAGACCACATTTTGGAAATGCCAGGACTGGGGAATTTTGTGATTGTAATTCTAGAATATTACTTCTAGAAATATGTTAAAGAAAGTGCAATGCCGTGATTTAAAAACTACTCTAAAGATAAAAGACGATCTACTTCCTACTGTCAAGTTTCGTTGTACGAGTTGTACAATGTACAGTGTACACCATGAGTGCAGACAAACATTTTTCTTTGAAATAATAATAATCTAGTTTTTGCTGGTTCAAACCTGTCACGTTTAATTATTAATACTCCAGATGCAGCTAAGAGAATTTTGCTGTTATAGTGTACTTAATTTGACATTTAAAGAATTGTTCAGATATTAGTAAATTGGAGCGTAGAGGTTTCTAACCGGCCTGAAGCTGCTTGGTTAGCTTAGATTAGTTAAAGTTGATTAATTTTCACTATGGGAATTATAAAATGATGAATAGTTAGATATGGATAATATCTCTTAGTTTTTTTCAAGAAAAAAAAACAAAAAAGGGTCCCAAAGTTTTCGTCTGATTTTTAACACAAGTTTTTTAATCCCGAAATAAACTATGGACCAGTTAAATATATGTCATGACAATAAGTGTAATTTCCACTTTTAAAGGAATTAAGTCTGCACAAACTCTAATATTATCTTTGCAAACCAATGGCGTATACCTTCTCAGACTATGTCCTAATAGATCAAATGATCTTGAAATATCATAGGTTTGCACCATCAGGTTGCAATGATAAAGGAATTATATAATTTGAGTTTTTTTCTAAGAGTCATTTCCTTAATAATTAATAGTTTAGTTGGCATTCTGTAGATATGTTATCGTAAATGCGTGTTAAGTTGTGTTCTGGTTCTATCCTTGCAATTTAATTTCTGTTTATCATCCTACATTAGTCGGCCATTTTAATCATGCAGCAGTTCACACAACTTTTACAATTCGATGATGGTGATGGACCAAACCTCTATAGAGTAAATAAAGTAGATGTTAGTTCCACATTTGATTGAAAATATATTTCACGGTCTGGGTTGACCCTCGTCAGTTCTAACGATATAATAACCATTAAAATCAAATCATGAAAAAAAGATAATTTGCAAATATTTACTTTTGAAAGAATGTTTCACACAACTTCACCACAAATGATAAATAATACTCAAGGCAGGACCTGTCAACTTCTAATATAAAGGTTGTAAAATGCATCATAAGCAGGAAGGTCAAAGAGTACAACTAGTATCATTTATCCAGTTGGAAACGTTGGATTGGTTTGTTTGCAGTAGAATTAGAAATATTGCATAAAAATTGCGTAACGTTTAATCGCCATGACACTTGTTATACCTTTCTAGCTGTCAAAATAATTATGAATGATGACAAACACTGATTACGATTATATAGAAATGCAGAGATCCTTTAGTTCTTGAGATAATTGTTCATATCACTTCACCGCCGTCACTGCAACCCAAGATGAGCACGCTCTCAAGTAAAAGTTGTGTATGTAAAGCCAAAGGCCCTTTAAAGTCGAAGCTGTCTAAAAACTAAAAGTGATGAATTACTTTAGAGTTGTTCAGTGCCGTGCAAACTTCATTTGGCATAGTCCAACACACCAAATATACCTGTCAAGGGTTAAAGAATTCAAATAAGAATATTACGTTTTCGCAGAATTTAAACATTGACTTTCGTCATTTCGATAAAAAGTAACAAAACTTTCTATTTAGCTGCAAACATTTACAGAGATTGTCTAATGTTATCATCACAATAGAGTGTCTTTAACCTGTGGGACCCTGGAACTCCTTCTGAATAATGATATCATTTGACCTAGATACCTTTTAATGTCGATCAAACTACTTTTGGTCTGTACGTTTTAAACAAAATGCAGTCTGAGTTTACTTCTAAAAATGTTATGCAACAGAAATAATAAATAAAACTTGGTCCTACTTGAGCTGAATTCGTTTATATTTCTCATAAAAAATGTAGTACACTATTTGTAAGTAAACTTGCTTACAGTCACTAGTTAAATTAGGACGAACATAAGCGCTTAGTTTTTTTTTATATACAGGGTGTCCATTTGCAACATCATATTTGATTGTGCTTGGATCTAAATTGTGGAATTTCCTGGTCGATTTTCCTTAGCGATGGAGAAATTCAATTTTTAGTTGATTTTGAATGTTCTAATTTAATTAAGGATGGTGCTAGAGGACAAGGATGGTTCCGAAGAATATGATAAACCTGTAAGCAGAGAACTTATAGATTATGTAAAATCTTGTATCAGACACCAGGTATAGAGAGGAGATAGTTAGAAATAAATCTAATTTGATGAAATTGTGGAAGGAATGTAAATAAACTCATATTTATATTCATATTCAATAGATAAACTAAGAGCCAATGATTACGATGAGACATGTTTAGGACGTCACAAAACTCTTTTGACTTGACGATCTGAAGATTAATGTTCTGCCCAGTGCTTAGGATCCATTTAAATTTGATGCGGATCCGGACCCGCCTTGAAAAAAATGGATCCGGATCCAGGTCATTTTTTAAAGATTTACTGATTTTTTTTCGCTTATTTTTATCCTAAAACTTGATGAACCATTTATAAATGAGGAAATTTTTATACTCTCTCTTTTTTTTCAAAAGTTCAGATTTGGGTTTTAGCAGTAAAAAGTTTTTTTTGTAGTTTTTGGTTGATAATTTACCCCTTGGATCCGGATCCGGATCCAGGAAGCCAAAATCTTGCGGATCCAACGGATCCGGATCCTAAGCACTGGTTCTGCCGTCTATATGATTGCAGGGAACCAGAAATGTATGAAGGAAAAATAAACTCTGTATGTATCTGAAGTCTCAACTACTGGTGGGTAACCCTACATCCGCAAAGTTATTCAAGATTTTATTTTAAATCAAAAATCAAAACTTTGTACCTTACTGCTTACATACAGGGTTACCCACTAAGGATAAGACTTCAAAGACGACGGAACGGAATTTCTACTGTGTTTCCTTACATTCATGATACCCTGTAGTTGTAAACTTGTTTGTTTCTATGCCAAATTATTAATACGCCGAAAAAGTCCTTATATAAGTCAGAAACTTAATATAACCTCGAAATTCTCGAAATTGTCTTTAGTATCGAATTTCAGGTCGTCTTTATATTCTCATATTGTGTGGATAACGCCCTGTAGATACATAAAATAAGAAGAATAATTTCAGTTAGAGAAGTAAAAATCAGTGAATTTATTTTTTTAAATTGTTTTTATTATGAAATCTAAAACTGTATCAAAGGAAAATAGTTCCTTTAAATTGACTGTATTTTCACTTTTTTTAGGGAGTATTTAATAAGAGTCGGGATAAAATGAACCAATCTACTTCTATCTGGGAGGTGGAAGATCTGGATGAGTTTGCGGAGAAAGAATCCCAGGAGTTGATCCTGGACCAGGAGCAGGAGTTGAACCTGTACCAGGAGCAGGAGTTGAACCTGGGCCAGAAGCAGGAGTTGAACCTGGGTCAGAAGCAGGAGTTGAACCTGGGCCAGAAGCAGGAGTTGAACCTGGACCAGGAGCAACAGTTGAACCTGGACCAGGAGCAGGAGCTGAACCCGGAGAAAAACTACGATGAAAAGAACATGATGAGTGATTATTTTGATATATACAGTGTAGAAGAATGATTAGATTGGTTAGTGATGTAACAGACTAAATTAATACAAATGTACAAATGTACGTATATCATATTTTAGATGTAATCATTGTTTCAGAATTAAATTGTTTAGTTTGACACTATTTTGATTTTAAATATAAAAATGAAGGATTTCTAACATGTAGAATAAAGATAAATGAAAGTTTGAATCGATGAAGAATCGTGCATTTCATTACTTTCAGGAAATTCGAGCTTTTATGTAGTGAAATAACATTTAAGTTTGGGAGAAATAATGGAATTGAGCCATGCCGCAAATTCTGTTTTTATAATCCCTATCTTCGTAAATCTTGTATGAATTCTGAAATCAAATAATCCAAGTTTGAAAATCATAGATATCATGGCTTGAAACTAAAGAATATGGATTAGATATTCTTCAATCTTTAAGCAAACATTTTCAAATCAAAATGGACGGATTTGTCGTGTAAAAAAATATGATTTCTTGCATTGGTTCAGATTATTTTTAACTGTTCCAAATATCTGATTTTAATCCGAAAAACTATTTAATTTTGTCTCACTGCACTGAAATCTCTGTAATTTAACTCTCGCCGTTTATTTTTAAAATCATTTACTTAACCATACAATTATAGGAAAGCTGACGTAATTTGCAGATTGTAGATTGTAGAAACTCTGTAAATCCCAATTGATTAGAGAGAAGAGCTTGCTGAGCAGTCCTACTACCGGCACACACACTTAACTAATCTCATAAAAACAGGTTTGTACCCTCAAATGGGTTAATTTTTTAACTTTCACAGTAATAGGACTTCACAAATTAGAGAAAATAATTATTATAATTCTTACTTTAGCTTGTTAAAAAACCTGTTCTTTGATATGGCAAAACCGGGAAATCTTTATTTGTAGAAAGATAATATTGAAAGGATTTTATAAAATCAAAGGAACTGAGTTTTTGCCGCAAACTCTGGTTTTCTGATCTCTATATTTTTGCAACCCAATGTCTTAGACCTTTAATATTTCCATCTATGAATTATGTTATCTTAAATAGTCTAAGTTTGAATTATCAGAGGTTTACATCATCACGTTGCAATGTAGAGAGATGAGAAAATTTGAGCTTGTGTCAAAAGCTCAATTTCTTACGAGGAAGCGAAATTAATATTAGAAAATCGTGTATGTAAAGCATAGTGTCGAAATATATTTCTATGTCTGTGTGTAGATATTTGTTACATATAAGCCGGCCAAACCGTACCGTTTAGAGAGAAATGTAACTAAAATATAAAAAATTTTACGCATGCTCCTCTTGGTAACAAAGGATAGGTCCCCTGCCATCAGATTAAACTTTAGCGTACACACAAAGAAGGTCTCTTTCAGCCGAGCATAAAAAGTTACTTATGCTAGTATTAAATTATACATTGAAATGGAAAACAAGGAGAGGTAACAGTAAAGTAAAAAAGATACGGCATAGAGAAACAAAGTAGATGTAATTGAATTAATTGAAACAAAGTAGATGTAATTGAATTAATTGAAACGTCTGAACAGGTTTTGATATTTAAAACACTAGACTCGGGAGCACTTCAACCGTGATTACAATTATCCCGATATCTGGTATTATTCTGGAGAATAAAGGCGAGATAAGGACGGATCTGATGGGAAGGACGAAGATACGGAGCTGGATAATGATAGTGAACCTGTTGCAGGAGGGATCTCTGTGAAGGTAGCGTGTAACAACACATTTCTGCATGGCTGATCCCATTCCAGCATTTATATATAGTACGCAGGATACTCGCTTCATTCACTGCAATACAGAATATAATCCTTATTTAATCCATGCATGAGATATACCAGGATATAATAGATAAATGAAAACTTTAGAATAAAGGAACTCAAATTTTATATTCAGATATTACTTCCTCAAACAAAGAAGGAAGAGGGAGGGCATGGGGAACTTAAAAACATAATATATTCTGTAAGTGAGATAAGTCTCATATTTGAGGGAGCAATTTTTTTTTAATTGTCGAAAGTTTAAAATCCTGCCCTGTCCTCTTGTGTAGTCCTCGAACTTTTATGGGGATCGAGGGGACTCTGAGAATGATGTTTTGTATATGAAAGGATATTCACTGTACATCAATGCTGACTAGAGGGGGATGATTATGCTAAAACTTGAATAGAACTAAATATATTTATAATATCAAACAAATATAATTTCATTTCTAAATCTTTAACATAGCGTTTGCTTCTTTTACAAGTTTTACAAAGATATTTCCTTAAAAAAACTAAAAAATTCTAATTTCTAACCTCTCTGTTACAAAATTGTTCAATTTTCTAGATCAAAACATAATATACATTTAAGACCTTAATATGGAGTCTTTATTGTTGAATTCGTCCTGTCTTGTAAACAAACTTTAACCGATAAGATTAATACACGAGCAAAATATCTTCTAGTATTAAGCTCTAAAATACAAAGGATGATTCTCACCGTGGACTGTGGTTTAATGATCTCAAGCAAAGATCGATGAGAATATTGCCAATTACTTCTTAAAAGCCAAAAGCTAAACATAAGAGCTTAATATAGTGTTACAATGTACATGTAACTACAGAAAAGCATAAATGAGTTAGAGCGGTAAAATCAAAGCCCAAGACGTTGCGACACTTCAAACTTTATAAGCAGGCTGATTCTATGTGTGCTTCAGAGACGACTGTACGGAATTTAAACTTACTGTTTCCTTATATTCATGGTACCTGCGACTATAAACAATTCTTTCTTTCTTTGTCAAATCATTAAAATAGCCATTTAAAGCAGAAAATTTAATTTAAACTTAGGATCGTAATATTTGAAGAGATTCAAGTCTTCTGTTTGGTTAACCCTTTATATTAAACCATGCCACCGATTAAATTCTTTAAACTTCTCTGATATTCAATGATAGTTAGAAATTTATATCTCTGCACATATTTTATAAGATTTCAGAAAGGCGAACGCTTATTGGAAATCCCAAAGTTAAAGGAACCGGTATTTATTTTTCAGGAAATAAATTGCAGTATAATAGCCATCAATTGGGATTTATTTTTCAGGATATATTGCAGTATAATAGCCATCAATTGGGATTTTAAGACTCCCAATTATTACCAAAAAGTATTAATAGTGTAAATTTACACTTTTAATATCAACATTCAATGCAAAAAACAGGGTTCCCATACAGGTTGTTCCAAAAAGCATCGAACTTAAGTTACATCTTTGAAATGCGAGCATATATTATTAGCGCACAATACACTCAGTATTAACATAATATCAAAACCAAGTTCAGAAATGTCAATCAGTCTTAAACAAAAATCTTAAAATTAAATATTCCATTCACATTAATAATGCGTAAGAGGTTCGTATACAGTGAAATATATAGATAAAACCTCAAATTCTTGAGCTCTGATATAGAATATGATAAAATATATTTAAAGTTTTCAAGAATATATTGAGACATCCTGCGGGGGGACAAAACAAAAACCTAAATTAATAAAACAATATCTTCAAATCATTTAAAGGTGATATTTTTCAGTTTTGTGTTTTGTCAGTGACAAGTTGTTTTAGCTCAATAAAACGATTGCGAAACAAAGCAGTTTTCCAAAAGATTGTGTTGTGTCAGAAGTATGGAAATAGGGGGGGGGGGGGGGTGTTCAACTTCCCACTTGCATAGGCGAAACTTTGTGTTGCTGTTGTGCAGGGCTGTCCCGGGGAGCCGCGCTGGGGATTCAGTCGCCACGCAAGCAGCACCAAGTTATCATCCATTACTGCTGCTGTAGGTTCTGCTGTCTCAATCTATCCTACCTAGTGGGTAGGGTTTAACAGAGGTAGGAGAGGGTATACAGAACCGTCTAAGTTCACTCTGTAATATGATCGTGTATTGCGTGTAATTAATTTGTTGTAAGTATAGTGTTTATAACGTAGAGGGAAATATTACTACTAGTTGCAGGTGGTGAACTTAATCATAGAAGCCACAGGTTGCAGGATTCAACTGCCAATAGCACTTTAGTAAGCAGTCACGTGACCCTAGTTTATCCAATAGGAGAGGGGGATTTAGTCAATAGTGAACTTGTTGCTAGATTTACATGAGGGAATATCATATGATCCTTCTCATATTTCACCTCCCCTCCCTTTTAAAACACCTGTAGATTCAAGTATGAATAATATATATATATATATATAATATATACTAAGGTTGTATTATGTATACATAGATACATACATATATATTTATATAAGTATATTGAAACACTGATACAGGAAACACCAGAGAAACATTTATATTTCAATTACAACCACATTCAATATATTAGAGATACTAAAAGATAATTCATCATAGAGCAAATCTTATAATTTGTTATTAATAATTTCTTCATGTGGTTTTCATTGTACGTTTCAATAACATTTTGATTTTATTACTAATTATAATTACCCTAAAAATACCGGGCCTCAAAACGTTTAAACTAGAAAAATTAAATATTAATATAATTAATAACTTCCTCAGACTTTCTTTTTGCACTGCGACGTTTTTAAACTGACCCAACCCTAAAATTAAAGAAATGAATTCTGTTAAGATTATTTTATTTCAGTACAGTTTTGCATACTGTTTGATTCAATCTTGAAAAAGTTCCAAGAAAAATAATATTTTATTGTGGTGTATGGTTTAGAGAATAAAGTTGCTACCATAGAGAATAGAATGTATAGAGGGGAATTTACTAGAAAAAAGTGTAAAACAAATTCCTCTCTATATATTCTATTCTCTATGGTTGCTACTCATGACTTTATAAAAGAACTGAATACCTGCAGCCTCAAATTTAATTTTAGAATTTTTTGGAACCTGATGTTGTAGACCTTAACTATATTAATAATAGATTGAAGTCGAAAATTAGATTTTGAGACACGTGTTCAGTTCCTTTTTTATAAACGATTTGTTTCAAGTGATCTTCACACATATCTACAAAGTATCCTTATTTTTTGTGTGGGACAAGATTTATGTTGAGGTTTCAGTGCTGCTCTGTGATTTATTTCTTGTTGGAGG